ATTAGAAGAGATGGTTGGGTGTGGGTACACAAGGGAGTCAAGAAAGACTGTCTGGAATTCAGGGCATTCTCTAAAGTGTCTCTTGGTGTTTCCACACTCAAGAGTAAATATTAATGGAAAAACACAGCAACCCAAACAAAACGGCAAAACTTTCAAGAACTGAAGACCTTCAAGAATGAGGACAAGATTCTCTTAGCTAAGTAAAGGATTTAGACTAGGTGTGCTGGGTGGCAAGTTTCTTAGTTCAGCGAGCCATTCCTCCAGACCAAGGGTACTTGAATTCTCTGACAAGTTTGCCTCCAGTCAGGCTGTAAGCTTCAGTCCACCTCATGTCCTCTTCCAAGAGGACTCATCTGAGTCATGGGGGGGAGATTCTAAATTCTTAGTGCCCTTCTCACTTACTATGGCTCAGACCTAAATATCATCACTGTTTTCTGCATCTGCTATCATGCTGCTGCCTGGAATCTTCTTTTCCCACTGTACCACCTTTTACTAGTTGAAAAATCTTTCTTAATATTTAATAGAGAACAGGAAAACATTGATGAGGTTCCTGCCTCCTGTCCAGATTAGGAGTGCTGCATCAACATAATAAATACCAACAAGCCCCTGAACCTATCCCATTTCTTTATATTTTACACTGTTCAACATTTAAAAGACCTCCGTAATTCATCCTTCCAGTCTAGAAACAACTTTCCTTTACTTTCTCTAGCGTTAAGTGGTTCCGTTTTGCTATTCAGTTTCATTATACTTGATCTTTTTTTATTTCTTCCTATTTTAAGCAAAAGACCTATTGTTCAGGGTAAGGTTATGGAGGGTAGATCATTCATATAATTTTTCTATCTGCCTATCTTCAGCATATGATTTAGAAGCCTGGAATAATGTTTTCAGTTATTCCTTCTGCCACCATAATACAAAACAGTATTTAAAATCAAATACAATCATTTTATAGCCATCTCCTCTAGAGGGTCTCAAAGCAGTATTAATAACTACTTGTTGAGTGTTTAACATGTCCTCTGTATTTTGTTAAGATGTAAGTACTAACATCCACATTTTCTTCTGTAATAATTCTTACAACAGTCTCCCAGGAGATATGCTATCTTGCTTTGAGTGTGCAGAAGTTGAGGTTCTAGGAGGTAAATTCATCTGAAAGAAGCGAATGGGGGCAGATTCTCTAAGTTCCTAGGGAGGACAGACCTATGACTCTAAGGTCCCCCTCAATCCTAAATTTTTGTGTGAGTGGCTCAGAAATATCTACCTCATTTAGAAACTAAATGAAGTATGAGCATTCATTCTCCAGCTTTCATTCAAATTCCAAATATCTCTAATTTTAGATGAAAACCCAACTGTCTAGGTTGGAAGTCCACATCACAACAGATTAGCTAAATGGCTCCTACGCAGTCCTTATTTATAATCTGGGCAATTCCATTTTTGAATAATAGGTTATGCATAATGAGCAGTCTTGCGCTTTATGTTAAAGATAATCACTATTTTTTTAATAAATTAGATACAAAATTAGTATGTTGCCTTATTATAGAAATGATCTGTGAATATTTATTAATAGAGTGCAACAACACTTCCCACTGAATACTAGAATTGCCCACCCTACCAAATGCTTAATAATTAGTCAAGGGGATGGCATTACGTGTGCCTAACCTTCCCTGTGCGTGCTGCTTAGTGTTATATAAGGAAAGAGTGTTTCCTTTTTTTTTTTCCTCCTTCAAATACCAGAGTTTGATGAGCCCCACAATTTAAAGGTCTGCCTGTATACACGCTTACTTCCTGGCTGATCTCATCATATCTCACAGTTTGACACTCTATCTTGGTGCCAATTGTGCCCAGACTGATATACCAAATTGGACTTCTCTTTCAAACTTCAGGTTCATATAGTCAGCTACATACTTAACAGTTTAAATGGATTTCTAATGGTCACTGCCACCCTCACACCCCAAAGTGATATTAAACCTGTCTCACCTCATTCTCCTCCCCTACCCAGTTAATGGCAACTTTCAGCTTATTGTGGAGCCTTTCCTGCACAGCGAAAGTCCATTGGTAACTCTACCCATCCTACCTTCAACATAGATCCAAACATCTGACTGTGTCTCTCAACACCTACTGCTTCACCCATGATCACTTTTCTTAAGAGATACCGTAGTATCTCCCTAACTGCTTTCCTGTTTCTGTACTTATCCGTGGAGGACCACCTGTATGACTCTCCTTGAACACAAAACAATTACCTTCACTTTGGCTAAACCGGGCCCTCTCTCCAGATACTCATATGTACAGAACTAGCTAGGCCATTTCCTTTTCCCTTTGTCTGGTTCTAAGCAATATAAATAGGGCTAGCTGAGGTGCTTATGCATAATCTTTGAAGCTGGGTGACAGTTAGTGTTTCCCTACCCTGTGACTCCCAAAACATGTTTGAGCTAGGAGGGATGGAGAGCCACCCCTCCAGTGCTGTCAATGGGGTTCAAATTGAGTAAAGAGGCATGACCTCTCAGGGCAGAAAATTTTGCATATCAGAGCTGAAGCACCACCACCTAAACATTAAATGCTACCTCAATTGTGCTACACACATTGGTCTTTCTGCATATCCTTCTCGCTGCATTTTTTTTTTTTTTTTTTTTTTTTTTGGTACAGGGGAACAAACTCATGACCTCATGCTTGGCAGGCAGGCACCGTGCTGCTGAGCTATATCCTCCATCAGAGGTGCTTTCCGGCCTCCTGCCTAGCTCAGCTCATAGTACTCCAGTATTTCTCACTATTCTCACAGTCACTCATCCTCAAGCCACTCCCTTTTTCACTAACTAATAAAATCTGGGTTAGGCCCTGGGTTGAGGCCTTTGTTTTGACTAGCCACTCTCTAGAGTAGACCTAGGCTCCCCTTCACTCCCGAGATATATATATATATATATATATATATATATATATATATATATATGTCTTAGCATCTTTATTCTCACCTTGGGTTGCACTGGAGGTGGTAGATTGGAATTAACTTGCTAGAAGTGCAAAAGTGCAACAATGTTTCCATGGAATTATAAATGTAAACTTCTTGAGCTGAGACAAGGACAGGAAAGGGCTCTCTATGCCTGTCCTCATTATAGTCTATTATCAAACCAGGAGAGTAACCCCACTGAAAAAGAAATCAGGAACCATCAGTCCTCTGTTCCAGTGACCTCCCCGACTGCCATGTAATTCAAAGGAAAAGCTGAAATCCTTAAGGGACCCAAGGTCCTTTGTCACAGGGCACTCAGTCTGCTAGCCTGCAACCCTGCTTCCAGGACTTGCCTCTTGGCATCCGGTTCCAGCCTCACAGCAGCCTCCTCCAGGTTCCCATTCGCTCTTCTCTGTCGTCCTGTCCCTGTAGGGCTCCACCTCAAGCCTGTGGGTCTTCACCCCATGTCACCTTTACAGTGAAGACTTCCCTGATCACCATGACTAAAATTACAGCCTCTGTCCTCTTCATTTCTCCCTGCTTTCTGTTTCTATTAAGCACTTAACCACTAGCCAACTTGTTATACAGTCCTCTTATTTATCTAGCTCACCACTGGTGCCTGCCGGGAATGTAAACTTTGCCAAGGCCGGGCTTGGGCTTGTCAGTGTGAACTGCAGCCTTCCTAGGCCTAACCTGTTACTCAGGACTTGGAAACCAGGATTTAAACCATAGTTGAGTCTCTCCCACTCCCAGGAGTGGACCAACCTAACACCTGAGCACGCTGGGTAAAAAGAAACTAATTTGGGTATCTGTGCTTCCGTGTTTAGTCATCAAATATTAACTAAGCTTCCAGCGAGGTCAGTCTGTATCTTGTGTTGAGCTGGTGTGTTTTGCTAGGGAGCCTCCATGGAATGCCAAGGAATCCCAGGCAAGAATTCATTCTAATGAGCAAACAGGGAGAACCAGTTAGACATAGTGGGATACTGGTGTTTTCTAGGAGCTATATCCAATATCTGCTTTATTTCACTAGTGGAGTCCATATAATGCAGATAAGCTGAGAAAGCAGAGCCGGGCAGTACTGTCCATGGGTCTGTCCTATCACTGGGCTACTCTGTTTCAGTCCTTTCTTCTCACCTGGGCATGCCACAGTGTGAGGGGCTTTTCTTGAAATCCTCCACCCCCCACCCCCACCACATGGCTTCTGCCTTGAGGAGTTCTAATACTCATAGCAGTTTATGGAATGCTGGCTATTTACCACTTTACACAGTTGTTTAGGAGGAGAGATACATTTTCCCAGAAACATCAGCTTTACACTTATCCAAATAAACAACAAAATGGGCATAGGAGGCAAACAAGGATTATGCCAGGGAAGAACTATAAACTATAAATTTTTTGGCAAATAATTATGTTGTCAAACATATAGGGCACTACTATGGACTGAGTTTGTGTCCCCAGAAAACTCACATGGGAATCCTAATTCCCAAGGTGAAGATACTAGAAGATGGGGCCTTTGGAGGTAATCAGTTCAGGAGGGTGGGACCCTTAAAAATGGGGTTAAGGGCCTAACAAAAGCCAGCCGGAGGGCTGAAGTGGAGGGAACCCTTCCGCCACAGGAGGACACAGACAGATGGTACTTTCTATGAAGTAGGGGCTATCATTAGACACTGAATCTACCAGTGTTTTGATCTTAGACTTAAGCTCTTGGGAAGAAGTTTCTGTTATTCATAAATTCCTAATCTACGGTATTTTGTTATTGAAACCGGAACAAAAACAGGGGCTGTGTACACTTCATGTCTGGGCCTCTTGTAAGCATTTACTAAGATTAGATGATTTAATATCATCTTTGTTTTCCACAGGAGGACAACTGAGGCACAGAGAAGTAACTTCTTAACCCACAGTCCCTGGGAGAGGGTAGGCAGGGTTTGAACTCAGGCGATTGGGCTCCAGGGAGCGCACTCTGAGGACACAGTCTTGATATTCTTAAGTCATGGAGTTACGAAGCACGGGCCATGAGACACCAGGGCAGGGGCGCGGAGCGCAGGGCACTGAGGCTCTCTCAGGTCACCTGGGTAGGTTCTGGAATTGTTGAATAGCGGCCTCGAGGTTCCTGATGAGCTTCCAGCAATGCTGCGCCCTGGGCGCGTCCTTTGGGTCCTCTGTCTGAGCCTGGGCCATGCCTGGGGGGGACAGTGAGCCTCCAGCCCAGCTGCTCCAGGGGCTTCTGAATCACGAACTCTGCGTCTGTTGCCATGGCGACTCCAGACGCGCTAGCAGCGCGGGAACTCGGGGGCGGCGCGGCCGGCCGGGAGCAGAAGCGGAAGGGGCTGGGGGCTGGAGGCTAGGGGCGGGGTGGGCTGCAGGGTGGGGGAGTCGGGAGGGGCTGCCCGCCTCTGTCTCCCCTGACTTAGGGTTGCGTGGTGCGGCTTACTTCCCCTGGCCTCCCGCAGACCGGAAAGCCTCTGCAGTATCTCCAGCAAAGCTGCAGCCGCGTCAGTGACACTGCTGCGCTAAACCCCGCCCCATCCTCTTTGTTTTGTGCCCTTGCCACGCGCTGAGCTCAGCCTCTCTCATGGACCCGCGCAATTAGGGGTAGGGTTGTATCCTTGTCTTTCTACACCAGCACCCGCTCAGCGTGTTAGGCCCCCAGCTTGGTGGAGTTCCTTTCCTTCCCTCTCACCCTGGGCTGAAAATCACCCTTGGGGAGAATGTCAGCTATGAATCCACCTGATGATGGTGCGGGAGATGTGATCAGCCCTAGGCTCCCAGGGCAGTGTCCTAAGAGCAGAGCAGGTGCCTGATGAATTCAGTCTGCAGAGACGAAACACTCCTACGTTCCTATTTAATGTGAAAGTCAGTCCAAGATGTCAAGCTTTACACTCTACAGTGTTGTGTGGAATCCGACTTTACTATGTTTCTACCAGTAATAGAAGTCTTGTTCGTCCTTTGTTTTTAAATTCTGTGCCACTCAGTGATGACCGAGAGGTGATAGCTATTCCAATATCAACATGTCATTGCCTTGCTTGGAGCTAAGCATTTCACTTGCCTACAGAAGAATACGATTTTTATTCTTTCCCTTATAATGATTATGTGGAACAGATTTTGCTAGTAGATGCTCAAAATAGCATTATCATTACTTCTCTGTTTAAAGACACAGATGAAAACGCCCCAAATGCCAAACAAAAATCACAACCAATACTGAAATAATCTGTGAAGTGTTTGTTTTCCTTGTGGGAGGTAGAGGGGAGCAAATGAATTCCTTTTACTGAAGGGGATTTTTTATGTTCAAAATCGAACCTCAAATTTGATTTAGGAAATTTCTATTACATGATCAAAATGATTTAAAGAAAGAAATGCATGTGTCTAAAATGTTATTTTTCTTAAGGATTTTTTCATACTGCATATACATTTTTAAAAAGAAATACTAAAATTCCAAGTGAAACTAAGAACTTGATCCATTTAGAAAGGGGCCGACGTAGCACAAAGAATGAGATAAGTGGCTGGCTGTGTTGCTCACGCAATTGTAAATGAATGTTTTGGAACTGAGGAAAGATCTTGTGAGTCACTGATCAGGTCTGTACAGCATTTGTTGACTGATCCTCCTGCATGGTTACACCATCCCACAGAAGCGAACTGAACAAAAACATTGTTGTTCTTGCAAAGGCAAGCAGAAACACCCAAGTGACACCCAGGATTTGGAGGCAGATTTATTTACATAGACGGATACTGACTGGTATTGTTCCCAGTATATCAGGCTCTGATCTCTGTGGTCCAGGGCTTATATGGGATAAGCAAGCAGGAAGCACAGAGGCAGAATGTCTTGTCAACTGGGATTTGGTTTATACAATGTGCATCATAGTGACCAGCTATACATCACAGTGACCAGTTGTTTCTAAGACACAGGAGCAACTGGAACTGCAACAGGAACTATTGCCTGGGCAGCTAATAAACTGAAGTGTACTGGCTGGGTGGCAGGGTAGGGGATACATTTTCTGTTACATTTTGAACCCTTTTCATAGCATAAACTTCACTGAGGAGACCAAGTTATGATGATGATGGTGTTTGAAGGTATGAACTGCACAACTCTGTCCTTGTCCGTTACCTATATTTTATCTCTCAGGCATTCTGGCTTGTAAAATTGTCCACTGCAGAGCATATTCTCCCATGCTAACTGGGTTTGCCACTATCAAAGCAGTTGTTATATTAAATGCAATCTTGTTTTATCACACATGTAATTCACCGATGATTTTTGCAGAAAGTGCATGATCTCTAGGTAAAATCAAAGGGAAAAAAAGAGCTCTGAAACTTAAGAATGTTGGAGACATTGGTTAGCCCTTCAGATACTGTTTTGCCACAAATAGAAACCAGCTAATGAACTTTTCTCAAGTCAGTGAGGAGTAATCTATAATGCTGGGAAACCCACAGCACACATAATATGCGGCAAAACTAATCCCAGTCAGATTTTTCTAAACAGTGTACTATATTTTTTTTCCTAAACCACCAATGAGAGATTCATCTTTATTGTGTAGAGTTTTCAGGTTTTAAAAAGTTGAACATTTTACAAACTAAAGTGATTTTTTTTCACTTGTTAATAGGACTTTGGGCACAAATTAAAAACACAGGTATAGATACAAGGTGTATTCATATGAAAATATCAACTACAGATTATTATAAATGATAACATCTCAGATTAAACAGCATGAGGATTTGATTAAGAGTTGTCCTGACTCTAAACATAATCATTTACATATTCCAGTTGGATATTATCTGTCCTGTACTCTAGTAAAAGCCAAGGGTTTCAGTTTAGGTTTGTAATTTAAATTCTTCCTGGAGAGTCATCATATGTAAATGCTTATTTCTCTTTTATCACCAGCTGTAATGTATGATTATGTGGTACAGGCCCTGTTATGTAAATTCATTTTATATTATGTTTCATCCATAACCAGAGTTCTTAACTAAAGGGCTGGGAAAGGAAATAAATAACGAGACCTTTAGCCAGGACAATATTATGCTACTAAATCCTTGATGGAAAAACTCCTGAAACTAGGTCATTTTAATGTCTTAAATTTTGTTGCAGAGGCAATATATCCACTGTAAAGCCCTTTTATCTGTGTTGTCACATGGGTAACACTGACAAGCATGATGATAGCACAGTAGGCAGTTTGGGCAGGGACAACCTGACTATAGGGTTTGTATCTCTTACTATCAAATGTCTTTTTTTGTTTATTTATTTATTTATTTATTTATTTATTTATTTTGAGATACTAGGGATTTCACTGAGGGCCTTTGCACAGACCTACCTCATATTAGGACTTCAGCAACTCTTGGAGATGGACTAAATATCTTTTGTATAAAGGATGTGCATGAGTCTTTGGGAGCCAGGGGTGGAATGTTGTGGTTTATGTATACCTTTGCATTATGCATTTGTGATTGGTTCATTGTCTAGCGCTTGGATTGTGGGTGTGAGTGCTACACCAACTTAGGGGTTGAGCCAGGATGTAATATAATGGCAGGAAGAACGTGTGTGTCTCTCTCTTGCAGTTTCAACCTTGCTGGTTGCAGCCGCCATGAACTGCGATCCCGCCATGCCACCCTGCCTTGGAGCCAACTGAGCATGGACTGAAACCTCCAAAAACTATAAGAAATAAACCTTTCCTTTCCCAACTTTGGGCATCAGGTATTTTGTCTCAGCGATGAGTAAAAAGTAACTAAGACACAAGTGCAGTAAATAATCATGAGAATGAGAGAGACCATTTCTCATAACTTTTATTACAGTATTATTATACATCTCCTACTTTATTATCAGTTATTGTTAATGTATAAGTTAGTCTTTATCATACATGTGTATGCACAAGAAAAAACAGTATTTGTACAGTTCAGATTTCACTGCTCTCTGTGGCTTCAGATATCCACTGGGCATCTTGAAATGTCCCTCTTTTCTGTGGGTGAAGGGCGACTACCATATTCCCTACAGCCTGACCTAAATGAACTGATAAAATATGGTATTTAGACCTTTTGCATGAGGACTAAATGCAGAGTCAAGGGGTTCCCCCAGAGACCCCCAAGTCAGACTGGGTTGGTGTGAGCATGGTTCTTTCTCATTAATGTTTCTCAACAGCAGTATTAGGCACCTTGCATTGTGCCTCAGTTTAGAACTCTTAACTCACAACTGTGGTGCCAAAAATGTGAATTTAGCAATTTTGAGGACTGGAGAGGAATGCTACACATAGGAGACTATGGTTGTATGAACTGACATTTTGTTATGGTTTTGATATCAGTTCATTTACCGGGACACCCTTTGGTATATATGTTATACAGATAATGTTGTACCCAAGGGACCAGTCTGTAACATATAGTCCAGGGATCTCTGGTCCTGCTACGGTTGCTTCAATCAGCAAGTCCGTGCTATAGTATACTATAGTAGTAGTCCATACTACTCCAAACTCTGCTGTCAACTGTATCTTGTTCAATGAGCCACACTGTGATAATTAATATACTGATATTAATTATCCTAATATTTTGTTGTTCTTGTTTTTGGTGGTGGTGGTGGTTTTTGCAGTGCAAAGGGTCAAACTCAGGGCCTCATGAATGCTAGGCAAGCAAGCATGCCTCCATTGAGCTCCAACTCCAGCCAGAAAAGGTTTCTTAGTGGGTGAATGTGTCAGCCTAGTGACTATTCCAGTAAATGTTAGAACTGGGCTCACATTGGTGATTTTAAAGATGTTGGAGAATTGTAGACTAGCTGAAACAGTTCAAAGATCAGCCCACTTTGACACACACAGGATGCAAGAGCCTAATGAGGCTGTGGCTTAAACCCTGAGGGTGGGTATTGGAACTTGGGCTCCTTCCAGACTTTGTTTTCTAGGTATCTGATATCTGCTGCATCTTGCGTGGGTGACATCACACCTGCTTCAAATGAAACATTCGTGTCTGGAGCTAGAGGTCAGAAGGGTGCGATCTCATGGAACTTCTAGACCATTGGTATAAATTGTATGGGTTATGCTTGTTAATGAATGTTGTTTGTTTTGAAAAAATGTCTCTGACTTGTTTGCATTATAACCTGAGATTAAGTTTATATGGAAAGAGCTAATATTTACCATCCTCAGACTTCTTCAGAGGATACAAATCTATGCAGAGAAACCTAAATAGTGTGTCACCAAACTAGGTGAGTTTTCAAGGAAGTCAGAAGAGATGATAACAGCTTCCTTAATAGAATTGATTTTGAGCTGGGGATTTAGCTCAGCTGCATAAGCACCTGCCTCACAAATGCTAGATGGTGAGTTTGATCCCTGGTACAAAAAAGAAAAAAAAAAAAAAAAACCACAGCTTAGAATTGATTTTGATGTATGGGGCAGAAGCTGCATCTGTCTTGTTAATTTTATATTCCCAGGGCTCTGATTCATTGCTTCTACATAGTAAAGGTGCAAAAAATATTTATCAGATGAATAAGTCACTGAACAGGCTCCTTAGAAGCATTTCAGTATTTGCCACTGGAAAGCTAAACAGGAAAATCCTGCTCGCTGATTTCAAATTAATGAATCTGAAATGCCAATTTAACACACTAAACTGTCATAGGCTTGTGCAAAACAGTGTATAACAAAGTAATGATTTTTATCATAAAAGCTCCAAACAATGCAGGAAATGTGAAGAAAATTAAATTTTAAGAATAAAAAGAGGTGATCCCCGCAGGAGGAATATCCAAAGGCCGTTTCGTGGAAAAGCTAATGTACAGCCAAGACAAAGCCTGATTGTGATTCGTTCAGGAGGAAGGACAGGTGAGTCAGAGTTCAGAATAAATGCTCACGGTGTGCCGTGTTCTTGGGGAATGGCCCCATCTCTGTCACAGCTTGACCAGAGTGTGCCACTCTTCATTACATATGCGTAGACGGAATGGACTCCATTACAGGCAAATGAACCAGTGGATAAGAAACAGGAGGGGAAGTCCCCATGCATCCGTGCTGAGCATTTGCTGCTGCTGCTTATAATCATTAAGAAACTAGACATATTGGAACACACCTGTATTCCTCGGAGGCTGAGGCAAGAGGATTGTGAATTCAAGGTTACTCTGGATTACATAGTGAATTCAAGCCTAGACTGCCGAGAGAAACTCTGTCTCAAAAAAATAAAAATAAATAATAAATTTAATTAAATACTAAAATAAAAGAAAACTTTTTGAATGGGCTGAAGATGTCATTTAGTAAAAGTTTTGGGATTCAGTTTCCAGTACTGCAAAAGAACAATAACAACCAGGAAAATACTGGGATGTATAATAAAATCACTACACCCCCCAGCCCTATTTATTTTATATATTTTTTTAAAACTTTAAGACAGTGTTTCACTAAGTTGTTAAATTCACCAGGCTGGGTTTTAACTCATGATCCTCCTGCCTCAGGCTCTTTGAGTGCTAGTATTGCAGGCATGTGTCACTGCTGGCTAGATTTTAGTCATTTTAGGGGAATGTCCTTATTTTTCTTCGTATAAGAGAAGTAGTTATTATATATGGCTGAAAAACATTTTCAGAGCTGTTTAATTAATACAGTGTAGCATTCCTGTTTGAGTAAAAAGAGGGCTTCATGGCTTCTTAAAACTTTTCTCGAACGTGTTTATTATTAATTAACTTGTAAATGGCAGCTTACATTCTTGATTTTCTTTTCCTTAAATTACTTTGGAAGATTCAGGCTAACACAGGAGCACTAATGCCAAGCCCTGCTGCAGCCTATGCAAAGCGCTCAAGTAACAACGGAGCCCACCTCTGTCACTTTTTGCCTTACCCCTGCCTGGGGACAAGGTTGGAGCTGGGCATAAGCTGGTACAGCATGGAGACAGGATTCCTCGGTCTGCTGCTTCCACCTTGATAATTCACTGGCCAACTTCCCTTTGCCTGTAGCCAGCCTAGAGTCTCTTGTTGTGTCTTAATAAATTTTAATTATTCCCTTCCCTGTGTCTCATTTACTACTCTATTTTCATCCTTTTTGGTTATTCTTCGGATTCCAAAACTGGACCCAGTCTATAGTTTTGTGTTCCACTTTGTTTTCATTGTCTTCTCAGACCGCCCACCTAGCTCAGTTTATAAGCTAATGAGACTCCTGCATCCAGGGTCCCGTTGGCTTGGTTCCTGACACCTCTCTTTCTTGGCCAACAGCCTTTCTGTGATCCCCCAACTACAGCCTCCCAATATATTTACAGTCATTTGGCTGCATCGCTGGATTATTTGGGGAAATACAGTTTTATCTTCTCAGCCCTCTTCCCTGGGGCCATCCTTTCTGTCCAAGAGCCTTTCATTTGTTATGAGGACAACAACTGAGTTCTAAGCTCAGTGTCTCCCCTAATAACAAGGATGGTGATTAATATGAATAATTACAAAACCTATGTGCAACCACATAAATTCAGGACACAGCATTACTAGTGTCCTGGGAGTAAAACCATGCAAAAATGCACACTTACTATAAGAGCCAAAGAATGAAAAGGAAAACAACATAAAAGCAAAGAGAGGCAAAAAAAAAAAAAAGATATCAGGAGGTTGTGCTATAAGTGAACTTATTCTTTCCTCTAAATTGTCTGTTATTAATAGACCTGATGTTCAGAAATCCTGTAGATACCTGGCTCTTTCATTTTATGTCCAAATAAAATAGCTTAATTTTTCTATCTCAATATTTCTCTATAATTAATCAAAAAATTCTCAGCTGGGCTAGGTGTGTTCTTCAACAGTAGAGCACTTGCCACGCATATGTGAGGCCTTGGGTTTGATCTCCAATACTGCTGGATCAATAAATAAATGTTAAAATTGAAATTCTCAGCATGCGTGCAAAGGAAGAAAACTTTAGCTCCTGTCCTTTGTTCATCTGTCCATTTGCCTGTGGCCATAGTCCACCCTCTCAATGCATTGAATGGCTCTGTCTTCTTCAATGCAAAATCAAGGTGATGGCTAGGTTACTACTCATCTCTAGCTGGCCCACCCTTTGGAGAAGAGGAGGCTTCCAGAACAGCACCCACACAGGAAAATTTGCAGTTAGATGTTGGACATCGTTGTTCTTTTGGCTCACTGTTGTGCTCACCTGAGGAATTGCCCACTGGTATTTTATTCCTATCTTTTTCCCTTTCCAGGCGACTATTCTCCTGTTTCAGCTTTGCCCCATTCTTTTCTCTCCATTCCACACCCAACCGTTCTCTTTAGGAGCTCAGAGGCACCTTCCCTGAGAGTGACATGGCACCAAAGCTGAGTTTCAAAGGTTGAGTAAGAGGTGGCTTGGTGAACAATTGCAGAAAAGCCACACAAGGCAGAACAAGGAGCCCGTGCCAGACTCTGCCAACAGGAAGAGCATTATGGCCCCAGAGGATCTCACAGGCTACTGCTCCCAAGTGGTCCATGTGACACACAGATCAGTGGGGAGGACCACAGAGCGGGAGCCAGATATTTCCTGTGTCTTCCTATAGCAGTGCAGGGAACAAGCTGAAGTTGCAGGTCTGAAACCAACATGCCTTGCAGGGTCATTCAGGTGGGAGGTGGGGAGAGGCACAGCTTGCAGAGAGGAGCCAGGCCTGAGGTGAAAGGTGACTCGGTAAGCAGACCAGCGGCATTTCTCCCATCGTGCACTCCCACCAAAACAGTGGAGGGCTGGGAAAAGATGCAACCGTGTATGGCCTATGGGAATGGGAGGAGCATGAGTGATAACCAGCTCAGCAAAGGAGAGAAGGGTTAATCTCCAACCAGGAATGGCGAGAAGCCAAGAAGTGGAGATGTTTGCATAACAGAGCTTCACAAGGCCCACAACTGGCAGGTTGATGTATGGGGGTGCTCATGAAGAGGCCTGAAAAACAGTACACATGAGAAAGTTCATTTCAGAAGCAGACCCCAGATTCTCTCCCCTGCGTCACAGGAAGGACACTGACACTTCATGCTTTGCCAGAAACTAAAGGTTTATTCCTGGTAAGGGTGAACACGAGTGTCCAGACCCACTGAGGAGGACTGTGCCTTGTTGGAAATGGGAGAGGATGTGAAGGTCTTCTCTGTGGACAGTGAGGTCTCCAGCCCCCACTGGGCTGGGAGAATGGGCACAACCAGGCTTCTATCACACAGGCAGAGAGAAAAGACCCCAAGACACCAAACTTGCAGGTTTGTCAGTTCAGTGGTCCTGGAGAGCACTACTCAGTGAGACCTGCTGTGGGCTGTCCTCAGACTACAGATCACCTTAAATAGAAACTGACTGCCCAAATCACCAGATGTTTGGGGAAAGCCTAAAAGAGGACAGCAAGAGAGAACCCAGCATCAAAGGAAAAAGAGTATAAAAGAGACTACACACAAAATGAAAACTTGAAAAAAAAAACCCTCTGTCTCTAATTACCATTGACACTCTCAGACCATTAAGAGAAGACACTTGCTCAGCATCAAGCTCTTTACATCACCAACACCAAAGACCAAGTGGTGCAGGGTACAGGCTGAGATCATCATATCCATTAATCGGAGCAGTATTTATGGGGTGTGAGTCCATGCTGTCGCTGTGATGTACACTAGGGCCCCAGCAGTGACAGAGAGCTCACTGCCTAGACTGACAGCCACTGCCTCTTCCCACAGCACAGAGAACTCCCCACAGCCTCCTAGCCACCTCTGTTCTATTCACCCACTTAGATTTCATACTATATATTCCAAATTAAGGGTGCTGAGAAGTCCCACAGTTTAGAAAGGCTTTAAGCATATGTAATACAGATATAATTTCTGGGATTCCCCCATACACACCTTGGAGAATTTGGAATTGAACCAAGGACTTTCACACTGAGTTATACCCTCAGCCTGTTTTAAATTTTGAGCAGGGTGGGGCTAGGCAGGAGTTTGAAACCAGCCTGGGCTACAAAGCAAGCTCAAGGCCAGATTGAACTACATAAGAACCTGTCTCAAAAAGAAAACAAAAAACAAAAAACGCAAAAACAAAGAACTATCCTCCCCACTCACCTCGACAGGATTATAAACATCCACAGAACACAGTTTAGAATGTACCCACTTAATGAAAAGTTGCTGCTACAGCCATATACTGCAGAAAGGTGCATGTCCTGGCACCCGCTTTGTGGGCTGTATTCAGCGGCAGAGTCACAGAACATCAAACTGAAGAGGCCGAGCTGAGCCTACAGGAAGAGCAAGGTGAACTGTTCTGAGGAATCACAAACTTCACTTGGCACAAGTTGTGGTTATTCGGTATACCCACCAACAGGAGAGCCTTGCATAAAATATCAGAGTCAGTACTTTCAAATAAGGCCATTTTTGGGAAATAAGTTGCTTTGAAAACTCATTTTGCTTTTGCTTCAACCTAGAGCTCAGGTCTGGCCCTAGCACTTTTAAAGTGGTGGACTATACCAGTGACCTAATTTATTCTAGAATGCAGCACATGCGAAAACACTTGTTCCATTCCAAAGTGCCATCTAAACAGGAACTGTTGTCATCCCCATGTCCCATTCCCACGTCTCACCCAATGTGCACATAGAATGATGGGAGGGTGGCCCTTCTGCTGTGTGATCCCAGGGCCAAATGTCTGGTACTTGGATTCCTTGGTAAAGGTCCTTTGAATTCAGTCTAAGTTTCTTCCTCTATCGCCTCTGCTTAATATCTGCTTCTGCTCTAATAGAGGGGCTTTCTCTGAGCTCTGCATTACCTGGACCTGCAAAGCATGAGCCACTATCTGTGTGTTATCTCCTCCCCTCCGAGCTCAGCCACCTACTCGTTGGTCTGGACTCTTCATCCCTCTGAAAATTCTCCCATCAGCATCCTACTCTCCACTTCCAAATGGACTTGCCCTTCTATCCATGAGATGTCCTAATGCACTGTCGCTTGTTGTATACACAGGACAAGGTCCTGCAACTTGGGTCTGGGTCCTGCTGACTTGTCCCCACATGTCTTCTTTTAAATTTGTTCTGCATCTTTTTTTGCACTAATAAATCAAGCCATAATAAGGACCTCTGTCTGAATCTTGTGCATCCTTCTGATCAATCATTAATTCGTAGCCCTGACACCCCTCTTCAATTTTGGTTCTTCTGTTCCTCTCCATGGACTCTTATGAATCCAGCTTACTCTGAATAGTCCTTGGGCACACCTGGTCCTATTTCCTCAATTGGCCTCCCCGCCTGGATGCCCTCCAGTTTGCTTGTGTAAAAGCCAGCCATCTTTCAAAGCCTTTATCAAGCCCTTGCTCCTCCCCTAAACCCTGAAGAATGTGCAGGCTTTAAGAATGCTTCCTCCAACAGCTTTTCAGAGTCTGTCCCATTCATTTGGCATTTTGCACACATTCGTGATCACTATTTAAGTCTGAATATTTATAATCTGCCTTCTCAGCTCAACTATTAAGTCCTTTAGGGAGGAGAACAACATCTTACCTCTTTGACTTTTCCAAGGAGGGCAGCTTATTCATGGTAACTGTCCTGGGGATATTTAGGTGACCTAAGCGACCTCTGATGCTGTCCGACCTGTCCTGCATGCATGAACTCAAGCAGGTCCCTTGCCAGCCATGCCCTTGTGACCTCCAGTGTGCAGATTTATCTCCTCTTGCCCACGTGTGACCCCTCAGAGCCTTCAGGAAGGCCACTCCTCTGCGGCCTCCAAGACCCTCAGCCACATCCTCTGTCTCCGCCTTCTTCGTCCCCTCCACCCCCTGGGTCATCATCTTAATATTCATTGCAACTTTGGTAGCTGACTTGACTCTCTTCATGATGTATACACTTGGTGGAATTCTAATTTATTTTCTGGTTTCATCAGGACGTCTTTGTGTACCTGGGGAAAGTCACACCACAGATTGTGATCACCATAGAGGCAGGATGTGTGGTGCTGGGTCCCAGGTTGGTCCTGGTCCCTGATACCTATTGATAGTTTTAATTCAAGGATTATAATTCCTGGGAGAAGAGCAGGCTTTTTATTCTCTAATCAAGTCAAGTAAAATAGTGATAACATCTGA